TAGATAGATAGATTTAGATGCATGTGCAGATATATATATATATATATACATATATATGTGTGTGTGTGTGTGTGTGTGTGCATATATATATATGTGTGTGCATATATATATATATATATTGAAAGAGAATAAGATTGATAGTTCATAGATAGATTGATAGATATATAGATAGATATGAACAGACTGATAGATAGATAGATAGATAGATAGATAGATAGATAGATAGATAGATAGATAGATAGATAGAATGCCATCGAGATATAAAGAGGTTCACATATAAAGATACTGAAATAGACAGATAGATCTCGATGTGCGTGCATAAATATATATTCGCATAATATATATATATATATATATATTAAGAGAGAGAATGATATTTCATAGATAGATTGATAGATATATAGATAGATATGAACAGATTGATATAGATAGAATGCCATCGGGATATAAAGAGATAGATAGATAGATAGATAGATAGACAGATAGATAGATGATAGATAGATAGACACATATATATATATATATATATATATATATATATATATATATAGAGAGAGAGAGAGAGAATAAGATAGATTCATTAATTGATAGATATATAGATAGATATGAACAGACTGAGATAGATAGATAGATAGATAGATAGATAGATAGATAGATAGATAGATAGATAGATAGATAGATATGAACAGACTGAGATAGATAGATAGATAGATAGATAGATAGATAGATAGATAGATAGATAGATAGATGGATTGGCGAAGTAGTCAACAAAATATGAAGACAGAAATGCAGTAGATGAATAATTTGGCAGGCATGCATTATTTTTAGGAAAGATATGGAACCAAAAGATATCGATAGAACACTGCAGACTTAGGTATTGCGTTTTCTGTATTTACACGGTGTTCCCAAAATCACATTATCATTGATAACCTTGTAAATTTCATATTTCTTTACTAAATGCAATCATGTTTCTGTATGTGACAATATGTCATAAAGAACTTTTATTGATCGAATTACAGAAGATGACGTCATGCAAATTTATCCTTGGCTTCCTTTGTTGCTATTTCACAAGTGTATGATTTCTGCCAATTGTCACGTGACATTTTCAACACTCTGTACATCGGAAAGAGAAAAGAAGCTTTGGAGAATTTGATACTCGTACGAGATATAGACTCCAAGAGGGTCAAGGAATAACAGCGAGTATTATGTTATGAAAGCTAGCGCGGAATAATTTCTTCACTGATGATGAGAAGACTCGAAGCGTCAACAGAGATGCTGAAAATAGCTTAGACGGAACATGTGAGTAACAAGGAAGTTTTAATGAATGTTAGGAAGAGAAACAATAGATAACAGCAGGATTAGAAAAAAGCGAGGGTTGAAATTTAATCGAAAGCCAATTAAAAGCGCTATTTGACAGTGTTGGATATCGGTTGAGGAAAGACCTTTGGCCTTAATTCCGCTGCATCAGTGTGTGAGCGGAAATCGAAACTGGTGATAGCATACAAGAAACACATTCGGTGGCTAAAATAAACAGGATGCACAGGTGTTCGGAGCGGAAGGAAATGCGTGCTAGCTTGGACGCAAGCCGAAAGAGGCGTGGCCACGTGAAGCTGCGTAGTCGACATATTGGAAGAAGTTGCGTGGGTGTTTAAATGTTGTAAATCTGGTCCGATTCTTGATCTGGACAGAGAGGCTGGCTAGAGGTTCACCGAAGATTTGTCTCCGTCAAATGCTGTATGCGCAATCCTAACCTCTGTGATTCCCTCTCACTCAACCCACTCGCCGCAACTCGAATAATAAAGTTGTTTATATATATATATATATATATATATATATATATCCTCAAAGATTACGTGAAGACTTGAGGCGACAAAAAAGAAAATGTCAAAAGACACACGTAGATGTCAAAACAGAGACTGTTCAAACTTGCAGGACGCATCACGATGAACGAAAGTTTAGAGAATTTGACACTCACAAGGCAAATTGAAGACAAGCGGGTCAGTGGAAAAACAGGGATTGCCCTTCATAATTAGCATACGTAAATGGTTGGAAGAAAAAAGCCGGAAAGACAGAGAAGGGAACAGACATTGCTGAGCGTTGCAAGTGATAGTATGTTATGTATAGTAAGATCGACTATGGCACGCTAAAACGAACGATACATATGATGATATATACATGCGTATATATATATATAGAGAGAGAGATAGAGAGAGAGAGAAAGAGATAAAGGTAGAGAGTGATCTAGATGTGTATATGAGGTCGATATATATATATATATATATATATATATAAAGAAATATAGTCTTAAGGAGTGCTATATTTATGGGATAAAGTGCTCAATATCAGAGATAGGGCGTGTGTAAATATAAAAGTGAAACATAGAAGTCAACACTTAGAGGCGACAGTCTGTTTCATGCTATATGCAATCGTCAGCCACATATGCTGTTATTTTTCTCGGCTATTTATATATATACGGGTTAGTGGGCATTGTGGGTATTCT